AATCAAATATTTAACCCTTATGGTACGGTGGCCCTGTGAGGCCAAATGCACTGCAACTTAAGAAAACATCAGGAAATAGAAAAACACTGCAAAAGCACAGAACACAATAGAAATGGATGAAAGTACAATGGAATTAAAACAAAATGCTTCAAAAGCTCCAAAAGAAAAACTCACAAAACACAACAGAAGTATTTTTGGAGAGACAATAATGTGATGGAACAGCTGCACAGAAGTGACAGAAGCCAAAGTGTGCAAGGACTGCACTAAGACACACTTTAAAGAAGCAGAGGATTTATCGCTTTTGTCAGGGAGAATATTTGTATAATACTGTCAATAAATGTTTGCTATTGATGCTAACAAATGGCTTCCCCTCCCTGGTTCTGCTGGAGGTTTCTTCCTGCTAAAAAGAAGTTTTTCCTTCCCACTGTCGCCAAGTGCTTGCTCATAGGGGGACATTTGATTGTTGTTGTTGTTGCTGTATTATTGCAGGTTCTCTACCTTACAATATAAAGCACCTTGAGGTTACTGCTCTTGTGATTTGGTGCTATATGTAAATACAATTGAATTGAATTAAATTGGAATTTTATATCACTTCCTTTGTGTTTTGAGTGCTTTTGCTGCCTTTTTCTGTTTGCTGGTGTTTTCTCAAGTTTAATGCATTTGACCTCTCAAAGCTGCAGTATGACAGTGTTATCTGTGAAAAGGACCGACGTCACAAGCACGTTAAATAATTGACAAACGGTTCACAGATCAAAATATGCAGGAAAACGTTGCCAGCTAGTTGTCTTTATTTCAGCTAATGATATGACATCAGGCTTAATCTGCCTGTAAGAGAGAACAACAAAAAACAAACTCAGGATTTTGTGGACTTGCAACCTTTACTGTTTCGGTTCACTCTCGCTGCCCTCACAGTGTCGTCTTACAACTGCAGGCATCTAGTTTCAATGGAAACCTTCTGAAAAAGCAGACCAGAAAACATAAAGCAATTAAACATATTTCCCTTTAGAGCTGATTATACAATATGAAATGAAAGATTATACTTACATTCACCTGGTCCAAGCAAACTAAATTACAAACGCTTTGAATGTTAGGAGCCTGTTAACACTCCCGTAGCTATGGGTAGTTGAAGCTTTAGATGGTGTCGGATGCCGAAAGCTTTAAAGTTCTGCATTCAGTGAAATCGTTTGCTGTACGCTCACTCAGAAGACTGTTGAATATATTTGTTGAACAAACGTCCATTACCACACCTTTGCGAAGCAAAATGTGACACTGACAAATTATTGTGGAGTGGAACATGTAGTGGTGTTGTGATATCTCCCGCTCTGCAGGCAGAGTGTATTAAAGGCAAGGCACTGAAAATGTGACAGTGCAGCAGCAGGTCTGTTGTCACGCTTTGGCATGACACTGTGCTGGACAACACCAACAAAGACTGTACGGATCCATGACTGCAAGAAGTCCCCTATATTAGAATCATCAATTAGCATAACACCACTAGTTACCCACTTCTTGCTGTGAGGGAGCAGTGCTAACGGTATCGCCCATATGACGGATATTTCTACACTTGCAGTTTAACTATTAGCTAAATATTTAAAATGTAAGACTTGAAAACTTTGATACTTTTCCTACGAGACTCTTTGTCTGCCACATCTGGCTATAGGTTGTTACACAAATTGAGACAGAGATCTTCAAGGAGAGGACCTTTGTTAGCAATTGGATTTTTTTTGTCTCCCGCTGAAATTGAAAATTGAGAAAAGTATGACACTGTTATAGGAGACAAAACCTTGTGGATCAGTCAGGGTGCATAACGGGTCACAAAAGCATGAGGCTTTGACATTTTCATACCATGTTTCAAAGAGTCACGTTTGTTTTCCTGTAGCAGAAACCAAAAAGGTTGTTCAGCCTGAACCCAAATGAGGCTTAACATTCCCCTTCGGGCTTGTTTGAAGATCATACCAAGGTAAAGATCCTACAATAATACAGAGCAAACCCAACAATCAGAGTGAGCACTTGGTGACAGTGAGAAGGAAAAACTCCCTTTTAACAGGAAGAACCAGGTTCAGTTTTCAAATTTGCACATCTCAACTCTGTAAATCTTTCATTAGCTCGTGACATCATAAATCCGCGTCACACGTTCAGGCCTTGTAAGCTGAGGTGAGCTCAGTAAAACAATCCGCTTTGAAGCCAAAGAAACTCTTTTATCAAATTCTGAACACACATCATTTTTCACAGTGAAGATGTTGTGAGTGACAGGTACTTTAACCATAGCAGCAGCTGCTGGAATCTGATCATGAATCACTTTCACTTGTAATGGCCTCAGATGGCACCGACAACTGCTGCTGACATTGGCTTGCACGCTCTAAATATTAGTGTGTGTATTTTTTGTCTACCTGAGCAGTGTTTGTGTGCATTTAAGGGTTACAATGTCCTTAATATCGCCATTGGTTTGGTAATGAGTCTAATCCCAGGAGGACAGAGAGAGACACTGAGGTCTGAGAGTGGAACACGAAGGGATGGAAAAGTAGCGGATGTGCCACCAAAGTCAGCACGTGGGCTGCAAACTCATCAGGAAAAGTCACCTTTAACTTCCATTCAGAACCCAAAATAAAGAGACCATCCCTCATCGGAAAGGTCGAAGACATGATGTATGTCTTATTGCGCTGTCCTTAACCGCGACGCGCAACCTGTTCCTGCTTCTTCAATGTACATCACCTGAGAAAAGAGCATTAACTGCATGCTTGGAATATAAATGGACCTCTGTGCAGTGCAGCAATCCCCGCTCCGCACGACCCTTCAGCTACACTTTGAGTCGCCGCATTGATATGCCACTTTATTTTTTCTTTTTTTAATGCATTAAAACAAATTGATTACTGGATAATTAGAATGCAAATAGCAGCAATTAATGTTCAGCGCGCTCGTCGGTGAATGGCACCGCTGAGCAAGATTTTTAAAAATATGTATGATTGTCTCGTTCTAAAGAGGTAAACTAATCAGTAAAAAACCACACAGACACACTTACACAGTCTGTTTTAATGACTCATAAGCTGTCAGTAACATCAAAGCAGTAGGCTTTATGGGTTGCTTTTTTTATAATCATCCTGGGAGTGGTTGTAAAAGCATATTTAATAAGTGCCTTTGAAAACAGGTAGGAGCTTTTTCTTTTTTTTCCAAGAGGAGAGCTGCTTTTATCTTATAGCTAGGGCTTGCTGTTATAATAAGTTCCAGAAAGTGAGAAACTGGACAAAACAGGACCATAAAGGAACTCCAGATGCCCCCCGGTGTTGCTTTTCTTTTCCCTTTTATGACTTTTAATTTAGTAGAGCACAGATGACACTGAAAAGAGAATTTATGTGTATGTAGGTATGCACATGCCATGTTAGAGAAGCTCCTGTAAAATAGCTCGCCACTCTTATCAATTCTACATGAACCTGTGCAGCAGAGTGATCTCATGTAATGTGCAGAGGAAGATTATTGTAGGGTTTTAAGTGCTGCCACTTCATCAGCATGGAGTCTCTGTTTGGACACAGTAACTTCCCGAGTGCAAAGGTCACGGAAGGAGAGCAAAAGAACCTGCGGGCTGGTAGACTCGATGAGAATCTACAGTCACTTGTTTCCGTTTGCCGTCTCCTCTGTGCCAGCTGACCTGAATCCCACTCCAACTGCCCTCTGCCCCGAGCTGTAGGGCAGAGCACGCTCTTTGCTCTTGCCCCCTCCCCGTTCCGCCACGGTTCTTTGCTCATCAGGAATGATCCCGCAGCCTAGGACGAGTAGCAGTTTTAGAATCATCAAATAAGCTCTCTCTCTCTCTTTTCCTTACCGTGTCTGCGTGCAAATGTGCGAGTGTGCGACTGTGTGCCTTTCCGCTGTTGTTGACACACAGAAAGAGACAGGGAGAGAGAGCAAAATCATCAGAGCCAGAAAAACAAGCGGACGAAAGGCCACGCTCGCTCGATGTCAATAAAAGTTATGGTTTGTGTGTCTGTTTGTGTTAGTGCGTTATCGTGTGGGTGCGACGCAGGGGCGGTGGGGGCTGCTGAAACAAATGACCTTTGCACAGTAACTAGTGCGATGCACCTCCTTCACACAGAACAACAATAGCACGAGCGGGGAAAAGGCTCTTTAAAAGTCAACAAAAGTTATGCAATTTGCAATTTCTCTGATCAGATCACAACGCTCAGACACAGTCTGCTACACAGGTCGCTTCTTATGCAGATAGCATTCCACTTCCTTCGCCAAAATTAGGCAAGAAAACAGTTTCTCACTGCTGTAGACTTACCTCTTATTTCCAGTTTCAGTCTACTTTTATCCCACTGAGTATCTCCTCAAAGCTGATTTGCCAGAGCACTTGACTTTTAACCAAAGCCGCTTCCTCCTCTTAAGCATCAAAAGCACATACAGCGATGACAGCCTGTCTGTTAATGAACCTTCTGTTCAGAGAAAGATTAAGGAAACTCTGGTAGTGATTTGGCAGATAATAACCACAGAGACTGTTGAGACTGAGGAGGAGGAGGAGAAAGAAATCAAAAAAAAAGAGGGAGAAAGAGCTGGTGGAGCGAGTGGAGAGAAACAGAAAAAGTTTCAGCAGACTATACTTCTGTCAGGTGATGGATGAGCAGATGGAGGGTCGGAAATTAGAAAGAGAAAGATCCAGACATAGAAGGAAAGAGGGAAGCTGAAAAAGATTTACTTGCTGCTGCAGGAGGAGTGACCCTCATAACTCTGTAATTTTGTCAGGAGACTAAACACCGGCAACCAAAGAACCATCATATAGCTGCATGTTGTTGGTACACCCTGAGTACCGTGGCAACATAACAAATATTAGAATTGCAAGTTTGAAATAAAGATACTTCAATTGTAATCTGTCGCTTTTAGTAGCATTTTAGGAACATTTTTGTAGCAACAAAGACGAGCATCGCGGCTTCTCTTTTTCACACAGTTGTAAAACGATCATCTATGACTGCATTATAAGCGTGGCTTTACCGTTTTCCTCTGTTCTCTTACAGATACTGGTGAACTCCATTTCCCAGCCTGCCGTGTTGTATGAAAATGTTGTGGTGAGCAACGGGAGCCCGATCCTGCGAGATTTGCTCTTCAGCCCAGATCATCAGTACTTATATGCCCTCACTGATAAACAGGTAGGAGAAGTGCGCGCACACACGCACATACACAAACACTCCAGATGACCACGTCTAAACTAGAGATGAGCCTTTTAATGTACAGTTTCACAGCTGTTTTTATGTACATGTACACTTGCTGGCATACTGAAAGACACACACACACACATACACGAACACGCAAACGCCCTCATTGCAAATAAGTGAAGGCTGGGAAGAGAGAGGGAGAGGAAGAAAATGGAGACACTTGAAGAGCACCATTAAGAGCTGATGAGGAAAAATATATTAAAAATATACACGGGGGGAGTGAGCAATCAAGGTAATTACTCACATATAGTACCACATACTGGGCATGAACACATTTGCAGCTTAAGCAGCGTTCCACACACATGCACAGTTTTAGGTGCTAATTAATGTCATGAATTTTAAAATGCACCATATAGGATAAAGCCGTGCATACCTTCCTTCCACCGGGGATACACATTACACGCAACCCTTGAATGTTTACTTCAGGATATTCCTCACAAAAATCCTTGGTTCTCCATCTAAAAAACACCTGATCAACAACAGAAAATTACAGTTTAGCCATTGCACCAAGCGACCACAGAACTGAAAAGATGATAAGTATTATTATACACAGGCATGTGACGTTAAATTGGTTAAACTCCGTGGCCTCTCATTTTCCCACACTGACCTCATCTGCACAGCATTATGATATGCACGATCAAATCCTGGCGTATACGTGTCATTATCTCGAAATGCCTTTATCCATGAGAGCTTGATACAGCAGTCGCCACTCTCCCGCTCATCCCTTCTTTACCTGCACGACTCTTATCTCATAATGGTTAATGACCTTGATGTGATAACCTTCAACGAGACTTCCTCGCTACGTAGACGGTAACCGGCGTGTAAGTGCTGTGTAATTTACCAGCGATTAGACTTAATTGACTTCCACGTGTCTGAATAAGCACGCGGACGAAGTGGAGTGTAACTGATACAAATGGATGTCGTAGTTGTTGACGTGACGGAGAAAATAAGAATCTGATCGGTCCAGGAAGCTGAAATGTACTCTAAAGAGAAAATGCCTAAATGCATATTGAATTACACTGAGTCGGGGACACACGTGCTGATTTTGGAAACTCGCGCTGAATTATGTATGCACACGAAGATAGAGTTGATTCATAATGTAATTTCAGTGCCCAAATTATTTATAGTTATGCTCCAGGTCCAGTTACAACATTAACACAATTAAATGCAGCAGAATGTGTGTGACCACCTACATTTTTAACACTGCACACAGGAAAAGGACGAATTTCTTTTGAAATCTAAGCAGCTTGTAAAGTAACCATGTATCAACCCTGTGTCTGGGCCCTGTTCTGTTAAGATGACTCACATGCTTTTTAGTATTTCATTTTTTTCTGAATAGACACAAGTCCTTAAAAAATAATTCACTCATTATTCTATATATATATTTATTAGTGCTGTTCAAGTAGAGCACATCTTTAGGCTAACTCTCTAAAAAAGAATAACATGTTAGTGTAGAAAGAAGAGTCAAGAGCATACTTTTTTGATAGAAAATAAAACAAAACATGCAGCAACATAATCATTATTAATGTCTGCCTCTTATTTTCTCATCCGATTACGTGTGCTCTCCATCTGATTATAACGTTTGCAGCACTTAGACCATAGCGGATTGATTGATTGTGATACTGCTATAATAATCCAGTGGCACATTATTATGTTACAAGCATCGTTTGTTTTTTGCTTGGCTTGATCTGTCTAAAGCATTTTGGTACATTTATGGTTTTTAATAACCTCAGCCAGAATAATTTTAGATGTTCACTTTCTACCTTGCTCGCTAACTGCTAACAGTTTATACCAGTCTACCGCTTTTTTTCTCGATGGAAGGGATGCAGACACCTGTCAGAAAATGTATACTGATGACCTTATTGCAGTTAAAAGAATTTGAACTGTTTTTAACCTTCAGCTTGGTGCTTGTTTGGTTTTGGTAACTGAGGGTGCCTTAGGAAATAGCTGATTAAGTCGACTGTTGGAGTCGTTATTCAAAAAAAGGCAATGTATTACACATTGCTTGTTACTTTCTTTGAATCGAATGCAATATGTTACTTAATTACCCGGAGAAAGTTATTATGTTGCACTAATCGTTACATTGCGTTCTTGTTACTTTGTAAAATGACCTGAAATGTGTTGTCTAATAATTACCAGTTAACAATTGAAACCTTAAGCTACAGTCCGACACACCAACACAAGTGTCATCATCCCAAAGAGGACACATAGAGGATCTTTCTTTTAGTGCTTACATATGAATACAAAGCTGACAACACAAGGAAAAATGGACAAAAAGAATTCAAAGTGATCGACACAAAAACATGAACCGGCAGAGAGAATTCAAGCTTCAACCCTGAATTCTCAGGGTTGGGTTGGGACACTCTGCTTTAATATCACTCTGGGTTCTTGGCGAGCTTTGTGTTAGCATGCTGTCTGTCCAGACGCTTGCAAAAGCCTAAGTTCTGTTAACAGTATAATATGTTCTTTTTCTCTTCTGGATTCAGTCTGTACTTTACCATCGTGGTCTTGTCCTTTCATGCAATAAAATAAAAATAAAATGTTTGATTCTTCAAAAGCTGTACAGCATCTGCCTGAAATTATATGAATGTAGCATGAGGGCGCAGGGAGAAAAGAAAACTGTGTTGCTGCTGTATTTCTTTTCTATCTACCCAGCATTCAGATAACTAAAGAGCCTTTGTAACACAAGTACAGTAGGTCAGGTCTCAGCCCAGCTATGTAATTTATGAGGGCAAAATGATATAATAACGTTCACTGGAAACTATAATCCTCAACCCTTTGAAGACTGGATTCAAAATCCCACCAAATGTCACAAAAGTCAAAGTTAAAAAATTGCTCAAGTGTTCCCTTAATTTTTTTAGCACTATATATTGCTCTGGGTTACCTTGAGGATTACAAAGAATATTCATCTGTGAAAAGACACTCTAAATGATATCAAATACAACTTTAGGCCTCTGTCCAACAACTCACTGCTTCAGCCAGCAGTGCTTAGCAGCTGCTCAGCAGGATGAAGAAAGTTCATGCTGAGAGCATTTGCAGATTTTCCCTTCTAATTCCTTTCATCTGCAACTGCTATTGCTACCAGAAAGTAATTTTCAATTATTAAAGGTAGTGTTTTATTTTTGATGAGCACTGATATGTCTGCTGAACGTTAGTGCAGTGACAGTAGGAGGTCAGCTGCTAGAAGAGAAGCCTTGTTGAATTCACAATGCTTCTTCTTTGACACGATCCAAGTTGATCCGTTACATTTTACTAATGTAGCCAGTGAAGAAGTACAGGCATTCACATGGAGGATTCTTTTTGCTGCACTTTAAAGAGGAATTGTTTTAAAACCCGAGGAGCAGATTATTATTACGAATCCAGGGTCGGGTAAAGTAAAAATAATGACTAGTGCCGCTCCAATATCAAATATTAAGAGCTAGCAAGCGCAAGCTAGCTTTAGGAAATCTGAAAGGTACATTATGTTTCAATTTTTGTAATCACCATGTTATATTTTGCTCATGAAATCCACACAGAAACGCAAAAACAACAAGGTGCAGTTTTACAAGAGGTTTCTGGAACACAGTGACTTCCTGGAGAGTTTGTTGAATGAGGGTTAACTTCATAGTAAGAACAACAGTCAAGGAATGCTAATTTGTGACCTTCAATGGTGCTGGTAGGGAGACACACTTGTTGTTTTCCTCTGTTTAAACCTTAGCTAATTTCCTGTTGATATTGCATTCAGTTATACTGAGCGCCATCCATCTCCATCTGTCAACATTTTGAATGTTGACAGAATTACATGACGCATAACCATGTAAGCTCATTTTTGCTAGAGACCGATGCCGCAGTGGAAATTTGTTTGTTTTTTAAAAATTGCATATTCTCTGCCTGTGTAATTTTGTTCCTATGAAAGTCAGAATCACACTAATTGACAGAGAAGACAAAATGGATTGACCAACTCCTAGGAGAGCAGATAATGGCCTTTCACTTCCAGAGCTTCACCACTGACCAAATTTACAGTCCAGCCAGAGAACGAAGCAGAAAAGGAGGGAGCGAGCATGGGTGAGAGCTGAGAAGGTGGGAAAATATAATTGGTTTGGAGAATATGCTCTGTTCCTTTGTCTAACTCTTCCTGCTTCGTATTTGCAATATTCTTTTAGGGTTCGCATGTCAGTCTCTCTCAGTCAGAGTGAGTTTGTGTGGTAACTGCTCTCCCACTGGTGGCTTCACAGAGCATAGAGAGTAGAATGAGGATTGCCCCTCACCGCTGCATGTGAACTTGTGTTCCAGACAATAAAGGATCAGAGTGTGTGCATAGCCTTCTTGGCCTGCCGATGACGAGTCACTTCCTAGCCAGAGGGTGCTTGGACACTAGTTAATGTGTTAGGGTTTAAGGTTGCTCGCCAAGCCTTGGGATGTATAAACTTCTGCATTTTTTTTCAAGCCAAGAAAAACTGTATTTTTTTTCCAGGGCTCTGAATAGAACTGTTGCTCAAAGATTGAGTAACAGGTTAGAATTCACTTAGAGTTCTGGCATCTCGAAAGTTACTCAGAAACTCCCAGACGGTAGTCCATGTCCAGTAGGTAAGGTGGGGAATCACACTGTAACGACTTTATTGTGCCAGACATAAACTGTATTTGTTAATTATTTTAACAAACACTTGTTTCATATATAATATGCAGTATGATTTGGCGCAGATTTTTATGGTGGATGCCCTTCCTGATGCAGCCGTCCTATTTATACGGTTTGGGCCAAAACTAGGGGGAAATCTACACCATAGTTATATCATAACTGCAAGCTCCTCTGAGACCCTATGACAGGGGTGGGCAACTCCAGGGCCGGTGTTGTGCAGGTTATAGATGTGTCTTTGATCCAACACAGCTGATTTAAATGGCTAAATGACCTCCTCAACATGACTTGTAGTTCTCCAGAAGCCTGGTAATGAACTGAT